TAAAACCCCTCAGATCTAAAATCCCTCAGAAAAAGCTGAATTTGAGGTAAATTTCTGCATTTTTCTTGCTCTGAGGAAGGAATTGGACAAAACCCTTCCAAGATCTCCTCCAATGTGAGATATTCATCCACACAAACCCATCAGTGAGATGTAGAAGAGGGAAGAAAACAGGAATTTAAACCATCCAAAAAACTCCAACCCCTGAGCTCTGCCATGTCTGCGATCCTGCCTTTTTTTCCTGGATAATCCGGAATATTCCCTGAATATTCCAGAATATTCTCTAAGCAAAATCCACTCAGCATCCTCAAATCTCAGTGCTGGGCAGGAATTCACTCCATGAAGTGCAAGCAGCCCCAGAGAAGGGAATATTTCAATAGATATATTTCAATATTTTGTTTTAATCACAAATTGAGGCCTCCAGACTCACCCTGAAGGCGTTGATGTCGATGCTTCTGTCCATGTATTTCTTCTTCTCATATTTATCCCGGATAAAACTCTCCACAGCTCTACAGCAGCTGGTTAAGGACAAAGGATTCCAGAATAGAAGCCTTATTTGACAGGGAGGAACAAGGTACAGGCTGTAACTAAATTAAATCATTGTTTAAAGAGCATTTCCAGCAGTAACTTTCTTAAAATAATTTACTGCTGGATCCGAACTCGGTTTTTGCCCCTGGGTTATTTCAGGTTATTTCAGTGCTATAAAAAGGGAATTAAATCAGGATTTAAGCCCCTGCTGCATTTTCTCCATTGTTTTTTTTTGTTTGCCCCAAGCATCCCCCCAGCACATTCAGATCACAGTGGTCACAGCAGGATCCTGCCCCTCAAAAAGCACCTCAGGTGCCAGATGAACTCAAAAATTGATGGTGGAAAGGTGATTTTGTGGGGCTTTTTTAGGTTCACATCATTCTGTCCCTGCTTACTCAGCATTCCTGCAAGGTAGGAGTTACAGCTGAAGCATTAAAATTCCATCAGAGAATCCCAGCCTGGTTTGGGCTGGAAGGGACCCTAAATCCCTTGGGCAGGGGCACCTTCCACTATCCCAGGCTGCTCCAAGCTCCATCCAGCCTGGGGACACTCCCAGGGATGGGGCAGCCACAGCTTTTTTGGGAAATCTATTCCAGCCCCTCCTCACCCTCACATGGAGGAATTCCTTCCCAAAATCCCACCTCCCCCTGCCTTCTGGCAGGAATCCACCCCCCCTTCTCTCTCCATCTCCCTTGCAGCTCCTTCAGGTCCTGGAAATCCACAATTAGGTCTCCATGGAGCCTTTGGAATACTCAGCACTTTGGAAAACCAAACCCTCCAATTCCCTCCAAAACCTTCAGCTTTTGGGTTCACTCTGAAATGTCAGAGATCAGAACGAGATTAACCCTTAAAATCCCTTTTTCCAGTGGGATTTTTTTCCATTCCAGTGCATTTTTTTTTCCATTTAAGCCAAAAATAAAAGCAAAATTCTCTTTGCTCTTCCAAAATGAGAATTTCGGAGTGAATATTTCCCAGTTTTTCATTGTCCCAAGAGGCTGTCAAATCCAAGCAGGCTCTAAACCAGGGAGAAGCAGCCTTTGGTGCTGTGGTGACCTTGGTGTCCCAGATCTCCACCCCAATCCCTTCATTCCCATTCCCTGCCCAAGGGAACAACTTCTCCTTCAGGGAGGTTTAACCACACAGTTCCAGGATGGAAATCTCCACGGAATTTCCATGGAAAAACAAAAAGGATGCTGGTCTGTCTGGGGCCTCCGGAAGTTCTCGGGCAGGTAGGCTTCGTAGAGACGATTGGCTTTGCCATTCCCCATCTCCTGCACGCACTGAAATCCAAAAAAACTCCTTGAAATTTTCCTTCCCCAGGCATTAAAGCTCTCCCACAACATCCCAGGCTGCCAGGGAAGAGAAATCCAGGGAAGGAAGATGCTCCTGAAAGCCACTCTTCACCCCCAGGGGATGCTGAGGCAGCTGCTCCAATCCCCTCCCATCCCTTTTGCCAATTCTAAGCAATTTTTAGCCCAAGGCAGGATAAATATCCTGCTAGCAACCCAAAATCCCTCTGGAAGGAGAGGTGGGAAGCACCTCCAGGGAAGCAGGGATTGGTAATTTAAGAGACCAGCAGCTCCTTGAGCTTTGCTCTTTGCTGTTTGTCCAGCCTGGAATGAGGACATTTTATTGTTCTTTTCCCTCCCAACCTATCTCAGCTGGAATTTTCTTCCTCCTCCACTTCTCCCATTTTTTTTTTTGGGCTATCCTGGCTTGGTTTATTTAAAAAACCCCTCAGTGTTTTACCCCAGCCCTCACCTGGATCTGTTCCTGTGTCCACTGGTCGAGGTTGACAGATTTGACCCTGGATATGTGAACTCCCAGGTTCCTGTGGATCCCAGCACAGCGGATGCAGATGAACACCCCAATATTCCAGGACGCCCATCGTGGCCCTGGGAAGAGACAGAAAAGTGTTTCCCACCAATCCAACCCTTTTTCCTCTTTTTTTTTTTGACTGGAGCAACTGGGAAACTGCACCAAGTGAACTGGGATTGAGGACTTTGGAGTCTCATCCAGGCTGGAAACTGGAATTCCACATCAGGAGGATGCTCCCAATTGTCATCTTTGGGGATTTATTGCCTCCCTCTTCCATCCACACAAACCAAACAGCTCCAAGAGGAAGAGGACAGAAATCAAGAATTTAAACAATTTTGTTGTCATTTTCTTTCTATGAGGGAAAAAGTTCCCGATTTCACCAAGAAAAAGCTCACACCTGGTGCTGCTACTGATCTAAAACCCCTCAGACCTAAAATCCCTCAGGAACAGCTGAATTTGAGGCAAAATTTGCACTTTTCCTGCTCTGAGCAAGGAACTGGATAAAACCCTTCCAAAATCTCCTCCAGTCATTATCCCTGCAGATTTATTGCCTCTCTCTTCCATCCACACAAGAAGAGGCAGGAAAACAGGAGTTTAAACCACCCCAAAAAAAAACCTCCAACCCCCTGAGCTGTGCCATGCCTGTGATCCTGCTTTTTTTTTTTTTTTTTCCTCGTTAACTCAGCCCCAGAATATTCCCTACAAAAAAAAAAAAAACAACAAAAAAACCCAAAAAAACCAAAACCAAACAAACAAAAAACCCCCACAAAAACAAAAACAAAAAAACCACCCAAAAAAACCCAAAACCCACTCAGCATCTTCAAATCTCCTCAGTGCTGGGCAGAAATTCCCAGCTGAGCCAGGACCAAGCACTGAGCCCAGGATTTGGTCCCAAAACCAATCCCAGCCCAAGCAATGATCAGTTCACTCCAGTTTCCACAGCTCTGCTGGACATTATTTGCTTTTCCTGGGTCAGAACAAAATAAAGGTATTGGCTAAGGTCAGACATTCCTGGTTTTCATGCAGGACAGCTCCAAGGTGTGGATGGGAGATCATGCCAAGGATAAAAAAAACATCCACAAGGGAAAGATTAAGGAGCTCAGATGGACTCAGTGCACCCAGGAATGCCAGCAGGGCACACAGAGATCCACAGGAATTCCCTCCCCTCTCCCAGCCATGCCAGACCCTCAATCCTGCTGATAAATATTTTAGGAATGTATTAAAATTAAACCCTCTGCTCCCAGCACAAACTGGTGTCCCGGTGCATGAGAAACTGGGAAAACACAAAATTGGGGATCCAAGAGCCTCCACCAGCCCTTTTTTCCAGGCATTCTTCTGGATGATGAAGAGTTATCCTGCTTTTCTTGCCACAGCTAAAATAGCAGAGCCTCAAGTTAATGAGAGGGAGGTGGGAGGGGGAAGAGGGGGAAAGTGTAATTTCAAAGCCCTAAAAAAGCAGTGCTGTAGCTGAGATGCTGTTAACAGTTTAATTCCTATTCCTGAGGAAAGCCTGGAGCATCCTGAGGGATTTGGAGCTGATAAATGTACTCAGGGACCCTTCCAGAGCACAGCTATCCAACCTCTAACAGGTAACTCCAGCACCTCTTCCAGGGAATTCAATTAAAAATGCCTTTATTAAGTTTTCTGGCCTTTCCTGCCATTATTTGCTGCTTTTTCCCTCTCCAGGAGTGGCCTTTGGGAATGATATCAATTTAACAGAGCTGAGAAATTCACTTCCCCAGACACCCTTGCCTACACCTCAGTCCCATTATTACCTCCTTCATTACCAAAGCAAACCCCACAACTTCAGCACCACCTGAACATGCCCAAAAAATGGGAATCAAACCCTTGGCCAGGATCCTTCCTGTGATTTCTACACGGAATTCTCCCCCAGGGCTCTAACGTGAGACTGCTGGAAGGATTATCATGAGATTCAAGGTTAGATTTAAACTCCAGATAAATTTAGCCTTGATAGGACTAAAAGGATTAACGGGCAGCTCCTGGAGTAATCAGCTCACTGGGTTTGTCACATGGACCAGCTCAAGCCACCACAACCTCCCACTGAAACATGACTCAGGGGTAGTGTCACACCCTCCTCTGCTCCAGTGTCCCCTCAGGGGTCTGGGACAACCAGGGAGCCACAGCTGGAATGTGCTGCAGCTCCCAAATCCGAGTTCTGGGAGAGCCAAGATGCAGCAGCTTCATTATAATTAAATAAAAATGAGTATTTAGGGCTTTTGGACCCCTCCCAGCAATGAACACATTATACAACCAGGGGGAAGCTGCTCCCTGGGGAGATTCCAGCTGGGATTTGGGTGTCCTTGCACAGCCACAAGGTGCTGCAGGGAAGGCTCCACTAAATTCTATTTATATAACCAGTATGTAAGTACAGCAGAAAGAAGTTATCCTGCATGCTGAAATTAGTTTACAGATAGTTTTTAAAGAAAAGAGGTAGGTTTCATTAAATTATTGTGGGCTATTATTTGTCTATATCTATTATTTCATTTTGGTTGTTTATTGCTTAAATGATTAATCACACTCTGATCTCTTTTTTTTCTTAGCCAACTGCACCTATAGTATGTGAGTTCTTGACAATGATGGCAATGTGTCACACAGCAGTTCCAGAAAGAGAAGGTGATAAAATTATATATCAAACCTGCAGGGAATGGAGGATTTAGGGGATGTGGGGTTGGTTTTTTGCAGGGCCAGGGCACAGATTGTGAGCCCAGCAGCTCAGGGCTCTGCTCTGTCACAGGAGGGACTCAGAGCCACACGGGGAGGAAATCTGGATTTTCCAAAATGCTCCCTGAGCCTGCAGCCACAGCAAACCCTGGTGGGCTCAGCTTGGATCCAACATCCCCTTCCCAGACACCCAGCTTAACTAAACCAACACTTTAACCTTCAAATGCCTTCTAAAAATGTTCTTTTAAAACGTCTCATAAAGCCCTGAGGTTGTGGGAGGGGGGAAGGGTTTGGTGCAGATGTAAACAACCTCCCACTTCCCTCTCTGGAGGGAACACACTGGAACATCTCCCACTAAAAATCTCCCTGCAAGTGCCCAGTGGCTCTGATTTTGCTTTTTAGGGCTTTTTGCAGGCATTTCCCCAGGGTTTCACAGCTCTTTTCAAGGTGACTTGACTCGAAAAAGCTCCAGGTGGCATTTCCAGATGTGACTTTCACCCCGTGCTGCTGCTTTTCACTTCCCCAAAACCCAACCCCAGCTCAGACTCTGCAGCAGCTTCAGTGATAAAAGGGGGAAAAAGCCTGGGTTGGAGTTTAGGGGAATATTTTTCTGAGAAAAAATGGGTTTATATCAATAAATAGCAACAGGGCAGCTTTAATCAGCACTGCTGAGCTGCCTGGGGGAATTATCACCCCTCACAAAAGTGGGCACACCCTGACACCCACTAATTGAGAACAGGGGCACCTCACCCTCCTGGCTCAGGAAATTATGCATTTATCTCCCAGAGGGTTGAGAACAAGGCCAACAGAAACATTCAGCTCCTTAAACCACGAAAAAAAAATTGTTTCTTGCATGAATCCTCTGGTTGATGTTCTAAAATCAATTCCCCTGAGGCTGAGGGCCCTCAGAGCCACTAGGCCAAAATGGAAACCCCATTCCCACAGGGAAAATTGGGAGTTTCCTCCTGTGACCACCAGTGCCAGCCTCGCCTGGTGCTGCCACCACTTCTGCCTCAGCTTGATGATGATTTTATGATGCTAAATGTCTCAGCATTTAGGATGATTTTAACATCCATGGAAAGCAAAGCCACCTGGCACCAACCCTGCTCTGCTCAAGTTCATGGAGCTTCACCTCAGGCCTGCACAAATCCCTCCTGGATTGAAGGAAACATCAATTTGGAGTACGAATCCCAACATTTTTCAGAGCCTGGCTGCCCACTGAGCTCTGGCACAAGATTTGGGTTGGCTCAGACCCCTTTGGGATGCACTCCCAGCCTGGCAGGGGCTGCAGGAGCACCAGGAACCCCAAAGCATCCCTTGCTCAGTGAATCTGCATTCCCATTTTCCCTGAACACTGAGTGCATTCCCCAGGGAGGAGGATCCAGCAGGGATCCAGTGCCCAGCTCGTGCTCCAGGAGACAATTCCAGAGCCTGTTTTACATCCCAGCCTGTCAAAATAAACTCCACATACCAAGCTGCTCGTGCCAGCTCCAGTCGCCATCTAAGCCCTGCTCATTAATGCTCCAAGGGCTGCTGAATGATCTGAATGACTGAAAAGGATCCTAATTCCCTTTAAAACCCCCAGCCTAATTCCCTTTTCAACTCCCAGCCTGAGGAGCCTGCTCCAAACGAGTCACTTGCTCCAAGTTCACACCCTGGAGTGGTTTTAATTGGTTTTAATTGAGAAATCCCGAGGGGATTCACTCTTCACCCTTTACTCAGGCACCAAATTCTGGCCCAAGCTCCTGAGGCAACTTTTTTTGCTGTAATAACTCTGCAGAAAGCATTTAAAAATAAACCAGGATTCACTCCTCACCCTTTATTCAGGCACCAAATTCTGGCCCAAGCTCCTGAGGCAACTTTTTTTGCTGTAATAACTCTGCAGAAAGCATTTAAAAATAAACCAGGAGCTGGCTGCAAAACCACAGCTCCTTGGAAAAGGAAGAGCAGGGGAAAAAAAAAAAAAGAGCTGCTACCATGGCAAGGATTGAGGGAGCATCACAATGGAGAGCCTGATGAAATATTCCCAGTGGAAATGAGCAGATTCCAGGGAAATGTGGCCTCATGCATGGGTCCCAAAGCTGCTCCATGGCTGTCTGTGGAAAAGGGATGTGGGGAATTCTCCCTGGAGCAGGAGAATCCCTGCCAGGGGATATCCACACCCTCAGCTTTTCACCAGGGGAAAAATTCCTCGAGTCCAAGCTGAATAATCCTCTTTTTTTTTATTAATAGCGTCAAAGGAGGAAAGAACTCAGGAGCCAAGAGGTTCCTCTGCCTTGTGGTTTCCTTGTTCTGGGAAGAAATTGCTCAAGGATTTAGTGCCATTCATGCTGCTCAGAGCTGTGACAAAGCCTCTCTTGCAAAACAACTTCCTCTGCTCTTTGCTGGAAATGGCTGTTCTGCACCTCCAGGGCTTGGGGGAACCAAAGGCAACTCTAAAAACCCACTTAAGTCAGCTCCAAGACCTCTAAATGATGTTATTTAGTTATTAACACTATTAATAACTGAGCTGAGCGTGGATCCTGCCGCAGGGATCAGGGATCCACCTCGGATTTGGGATTAATCCCTGCTGCCCTCCCAGATTTAGGGCCAGACTGAGGGATTTGTGCAGCTCTCAGGGGATGCTAAAGCCAGACCCTCACTTTAACACCCACAAAAGGTGTCTGATAAAAATCTACACCTGATCAAGTAGTTTAATCACCCAAAAATTCAGCTTTATACCATCCTTTGAAAGAAGAAAGGGCTGTTTGGGAGTTTTATTTTGCCTTTTTTTTCTTCCCCTCACAGTAATTACAGGCCTCAACCACATTTTGCAAGAAAAACAAAGATGCTTGCTCTGATTTCTGCCAGAAAATCTTCCAGTTTAGCAAAAAATATCTAACATTTGAGGGCCCTGTGGCCTTGAAGCCCAAGATTTGTGTGGTTTTGGGTAAAAATGAGCAGTTTATCACTGCTACCATCGTGTTCTTTGAAGTGCAGGTGGAGGAAATGAAAATTTCTGTGAGCAGCAGGGTGGGGCTTTCCTGCTGCTGCAGAAAGGGGTGGTTGTTCCTTCAGTCAATGAAAAGGTGACAGGGACAATTTCCAGCAGTGCTATCACCAGAATCCATGAAAAACAACCGGGTGACATCAACACTGATGGTGACACAGCTTAAAAATATAAATATATATTAAAAAAACAAACAAAAAAATCAGTCAATTCCACAACCCACAGACTTCCTGTGGCATCATTTTTGGACCAAAACCACACATCAGCCAATCCTAGAAACTGCAGATTCCAGGGAGGCCTGAATTTCCATGAAATGCAAATAATTTAGGTGGTAGGTGCACCTGTAAACAGAGCAGCAGGGTGGAAGCCCTGCCATCACTAAGTTGATTTTTGATGCTGTAAATAGAATTTTGCTGCTTTTTAAGATGTTTTTAATGTGCCACTTGGCGTTGAAACTATTTAGACTCTGGCTTTTAATTTAATTTGAGTTGGGGATGTTTTAGAAGCCACCAAGTCCTTAAAAAAGCTCTGAGCAGAGGAAGGTCCTGGGTCAGTTTTTGATGGATTGAGAATTTTCAGCATCTAGAGTTGAACATGATAATCATAATACTATTAATTAATATCTTAATTATAATAATACTGATTTTCAGTCTCATGAGCTAAACATCCCTTGAAACTCCTAGGGAAAGGGGCAGGAAGGAGTGCCACATATTGCCAAAAATAGAGAAAAACCAATTTATTAAGGCCCAGGTAAATCCAGCCTCGCACTCACTGCTCCAAGTTCACGACAGCTCCTCCTAAAAGCTCCAATTTTGTCCCAGATTTCCTGGGACACGGGGAACAATCACAACCAGGGACCAACCTGAAGGAGCCCCGAGCTATTCCTGACTTTTTGCTCCGTTTCAAGACCTACTTTGCATTTTGGAGCACGAGCTCCCTTTGCACTGCAGCTGCCATTCCTTACATAACTCCTGGCAGTTTCTATAGGAACAAACTTTACTCCAGCTGGGAATCACATGGCATTTTTTGGGGAGAGCTTTCTTTTTTTCCCACCTCCAGAGGTGGGGCAGCACAGAGAGCCCAGGTGCTGCTGCTCTGAGGATTATCCCTATTTCTGGCAGATGTAGGGCCACAGATCCAAGTGTGACTCAGAGCTCTGCTTAAAAGGGATCTTCCTACAACTAATTCCACACTAAATCCCTGTTGGGAACACTGATGCTTTTTTCCCCTTGCTTGAGTGGGAAGTTACAGCTCCAGGCAGGCTCAGGGTGGACAGAGCTGTGTCCTCTGCCAGTTTTACCCTGCTGAGGTGAAGATCCCAGGGGGATAAAGTGAATTTCAGAGCATTTCCACTCCCTTTGTGCACAAAGCTCTCAGATCTGAATTGGGAAGAGCAGAAAAGCAGAATAATGGAAGATCCCAGGATATTGTGGCTGCAGCTGAGGATTCAAATGAACACACAAGCCACATGGATCCCTCTGGCAAGACTCCCTGGCCTAAGGCTGAGCTTTCTCCTCATCCCAGATTTCCTAAGCTGAGCTGAGCAGCTCCAGCCCCTCCACTTTGGGTTTTTGAAGGCACAGGCTGCACCACTCCCCCTCCACCGGCACTGCCATCCTGATTCTCCTTCCTCCCATGCAGCTGTTCCAGCAGCTATTTAAAAAGTTCCTCTTGGAATTGCTCTGCCTGCAAAGGAAATTCAGCTGCAGCTCAAGAGGCTGCTGGAGGAGGAGGAGTTGAGTCACGCAGATTTTCGGGAATATTTGGTTTGGATTAACAGGAGTTAGGCTGGACTAAAGCAGCTCCCCCATAAAATAATTCCCAAATTCCACTAGAAATCAGCCTCCCCATACCACCTACTCCACCCCAAGCTTCTCCCCCTTCCCATCCCACATTTACCCACCTCTGGGCAGGGATTTCCCCAATGCTACACCTTTCTTATTTTTTGCTGAAGAATTAAACCTGGATTTATGCCAGCAGCACCATCCAATCCCTCGGGACACAAGGGATGGGTTTAGGCCTGGAAGCCACGGATCTCACAAGACAAAGGGATGAAGGGAAGAGCCAGACAAAGCAGGGGGAGCACAGGGCAACCTGAACCTCTGGGCAGCTCCCGCTGCGACGTCAGCACCCCGGGGTCCACGGAGCCTGCTGGATGCATGGATGGGACTGCAGAGCAGAGGGGAGACTTGGGGAGAAGGAGAGAACCAAACACAATTAGCTGGGGGTGAAAATCAGCTGCAGGGGCAGCAATGAGTCCACTCTGTGTCGCTCAGTGGGAATTTTCCAAATCCCGACTGAGGTTTCACCTCATCCCTCCCTCCCTCCCTCCCTCAGCCATGCCAGCTCCAGGCTGCCACATTCCAAGCAGGGAATGTGCTGCTGGGTGCTCAGCTCAGGCTGTGCAGCAGCTCTGTTATCTCTCAGACACACACAAAGGGAGCAGCAGCACCACAGCCACCCTTGGAATGGCAGCAAGCAGCAAAAATCCCACCTGCCCAGTGCTGCTCTCTCCAGGTGGTTTTCCAAGTGATTCCCACAGCAAAGACCTCCAAGGAGAGGATCAGAACTCAGCAGTGCCCACCCTGCCCTGCCTCAGCTCTCCCAGTTCCCCCAAACACGAGGTTAGCAACAAAAAGAGGAAGAGAGTGGAGAGATTTCACCCAATTTCCTGCCAAACAAGAGCTCTGAGCAGGGTTTGCTGCAGCAGCAGCAAAAGCACCCTGAGATTTCACAGAATCTCACACTGCCTCGGGTGGGAAGGACCTTAAAGCTCATTTAATTCACCTCTGCCATGGGCAAGGGACACTTCCCACTACCCCAGGCTGCTCCAGTCCCTGCTTTGCTTCCAGAAACCCCTGGAAGTGCTGAGGGCAGCAGCTGGAGCCACCCTGGGCTCCTTTCCATGGGCACAGAGCAATGGTGAAGGTATTCCAGGAGGAACAGCAGGACTTCCTTGGCATCAGGGCTGGGAGAGCCCCACGTTCACCAAAAATACCAAAACTGCCCCAAAAGTGCAGGAATTCCTTGGAGCTTCAGGCAGAGACAGCTCCATTCACTAAAACTGCCCCAAAAATGCACAATTCTCCCTGGAACTCTGGGCAGAGACAGCTCCCGTGGCACCACGTTGATCAAAAGTACCAAAACTGCCCCAAAAATGCAGCAAATCCCTGGAACCCTGGGCAGAGACAGTTTCATTCACCAGAACTGCCCCAAAACTGCAGGAATTCTCCTGGAAGCTCTGAGTAGAGACAGGTCCCGTGGCACCACGTTGATCAAAAGTACCAAAACTGCCCCAAAACTGCAGGAATTCATTGGAGCTTCAGGCAGGGAGAGCTCCATTCACCAAAAACACCAACACTGCCCCAAAACTGCAGCAATTCTCCCCAGAACTCTGGGCAGAGACAGCTCCATTCACCCAAACTGCTCCAAATCTTCAGGAATTCCCTGAAACTCTGGCTAGAGACAGTTTCATTCACCAAAACTGCCCAAAAAATGCACAATTCTCCCTGGAACTCTGGGCAGAGACAGCTCCTGTGGCACCACGTTGATCAAAAGTACCAAAACTGCCCCAAAAGTGCAGGAATTCCCTGGAGCTCCGGGCAGAGCCAGCTCCCGTGGCCACACGTGCCCTGGAGGAGGAGATTTCCCACTTCCAGGAATCTCATTAGTGCAGAGGGTAATTAGTGGCTGAGATAAGTGGGGACAGCCCCAGCCTGCTCTCCAGGATTGGTGCAATCCCTGCTCCCAGCCAGGAGCAGCTTCCAGCTTTGGAAAGGCTCAACTCCACACCAGAGCTTCATTATAATGCTAATAATTAATTAATTAGAACCCTGCACTTCCAGGACGTGCTGTGACCAGGAGAAGCTCCACCACCCCGAGCTGTGGGGTTGAATTGATTCCCATTTTGGTGGAATTTGCTCTCTCCCAGGCCTGGGCTGAGATAAAGGAGCTATTTCTGCCCTTGGGGCTGGCAGGAGGTGCCAGGAGATAAAGGATTGGCACAGGGAGAGGAACATCCTGATCCCACCTTCATCCCAAAGCCAGGTGTGCTCCAGGCAGGTGGGAAGGATGAGGTTATTGTGGTTTGGGGTGAAAAGAAATCATAATGATCTAATTTTTAACACTGTTCAAGGGGGCTGTGCAGTTTTGGAGGTCACACTGAGGTGAGCAAGCCCTTTGTTTACAGATGGATTTGGCCAATCCCTCCTCCAAGTTCAATTCCAGCAGCTCTTGGGAAACGAGGCTCAAGTCCAGATCTCCAAGAGATTATGGCAGCTCATTAAAACAGGATTTTGGGCAACTTTAACTCTTTTGCTGCAGGAAAACAAAGCAGGGGACACGGAACAGTTTTATTCCTTTGTTTTATCCTCTGGAATTGAAACATTTCCTCTCTCAGGGTCATAACACACCTTGGAATCAGAAAAACACGGAATTGTTTGGGTTGGGAGGGACCTCGAAGCTCCTCCTGTCCTTTCCACTATCCCAGGCTGGCCTTGAACAATTCCAGAGATGGGGCAGCCACAGAGTCCAAACTCACAGGGAAAATCCAGGTGGGAAAGGAGAACAAAAATGTGGAATTCCTCACCGGGGTGAGGTGACAGCTCCTTCCCTGCGCTGGCATTCCAGCCCCAGGTGACAGGAGGTGACTCCCCAGCTGGAATTCCCTCAGTCCCACAGCCCCGGCTTTTCCAGGTCCCTCTTCTTCCCCTCTTGCAGGAGAGGCCCCCACCTGCTCTGGGGTGTTTCCCGGGATTCCCACGGGAGATTTGGGGCCGTTCCCTCCCCAGCTCCCCTCGGCTTCCAGAGGCTCCTCCCGGTGTGACCCGCACCAAACCCAGCTGGGCTGCGGCCAAAATTTGGGGGTTTTCAGCCGAAAACCACCGGGTTCTTTCGCCCAAAAGCCCCCTGCTGTGCCCCCAAAACCACGGCCTTCTCTCCCCCAAAACCACCGGGATCTTTCCCCCAAAACCACCCTATTCTCCCTCTCAAACCACGGGAATCTTTCTTCCAAAACCACCGGGATCTTTCCCCCAAACCACCCTATTCTCCCTCTCAAACCACGTTGTTCTTTCCCCCAAAACCACCGGGTCCTTTCCCCCAAAACCACGGGGTTCTTGCCCCAAAAACCAGCCTGTTCTCTGCCCCAAACCCACTCTCTTCTCTGCCCTAAATCCACCCCGTTCTTGCCCCCAGACCCATCCTGTTCCCTACCCCCAGCCCCCCCGCTCTTGCCCCCAAACCCAGCCCGTTCTTGCAAACCACGGCGGTCTCTCCCCCAAAACCACCGGGTTCTTTTCCCCAAAACCACCCTATTCTCCCTCTCAAACCACGGGAATCTTTCTTCCAAAACCACCGGGATCTTTCCCCCAAAACCACCCTATTCTCCCTCTCAAACCACCGGAATCTTTCCTCCAAAACCACCGGGATCTTTCCCCCAAACCACCCTATTCTCCCCCTCAAACCACGTTGTTCTTTTCCCCAAAACCACCGGGTCCTTTTCCCCAAAACCACGGGGTTCTTGCCCCAAAAACCAGCCTGTTCTCTGCCCCAAACCCACTCTCTTCTCTGCCTTAAATCCACCCCGTTCTTGCCCCCAGACCCATCCTGTTCCCTACCCCCAGCCCCCCCGCTCTTGCCCCCAAACCCAGCCCGTTCTTGCCCCCAAACCCAGCCCGTTCTTGCACCCAGACACCCCCGTTCTCTGCCCCAAACCTCCCCGTTCTTGCCCCCGCCCCCGCAAACCCCCGTAACCGCCGGGGCAGCACCGTTGTCCCCCCGCCACCACCGCAGCGCTCCCCTCTGGCGGAAACACCGCGATGCCCACCCCCAGCACACCCAGCCGGGGCCGCCCGCCCCTCGGGGGAGCGCGCACACCGGAGAGCACCGAGCGGCGAGGCCGGCGGGGAGCGGGGCGGGCACCGAGGGGGCGCATCCGGCGCGGCGCGGGCTCAGCAGGCCCCGCCGCCCACCCGCGCTACCTTTGGCCTGGCAGTCGGCGCAGAACTTGTTCTCGTCCTCGGCCAGCAGCCCGGCCAGCACCGCCTGGTAGCGCTCCACGTCCCGCACCGATTTTCCCGTCATGGCGCGGCCGGCGCTGCCCGCCCGCGGGTCACGGCCGGCCCGCCCGCTTCCTGCTTCCGCTATGGGCGGGGCTGCCGCCGGGGGAGGAGCCAATCAGCGCCGGCCCCGCGCGGCAACGCCTCCCCCGCGCGCCGCCGGCGCTGGGCGGTGATTGGTTGCGGCGCGCGGGAGGAAGCCAATAGGGAGAGAGGGGAGGGGCCAGCGGGGTTATGAATGGGGAGGGTCACGTGATGAGAGTGGGAGGCAATTGGGGGGACAGTGGGGGACCAATGGGGGACA